CTTGCTCTGTGCTTGACATGGCACCAAGTAAGTGGCAAATGGAATCCAATTTTCTGCTCACGCACGAAGCTAATAGAAATGCTGAGACAATAGCTGTCATTAACTCATGAGGACAAATAAGGATGAGGGATATATGTTCTGAAGATAGTGAGGATGATATTTGCAAAACAGTCTGTCCCGATAATGGCAAAGTAGCTGACTGTGGAGAGAGAGGCAGCATGAGCTGCTGCATGGCTCAACGCATGTGAATGTTAAGGTAACCTTTATATGTACTATATATGGGTCTCGTTTAACAGTCAAGCCTTAGAAAAGCAATTGTACTGGTGTTCATCTAATTTACGGTCCTGGAGATTTCTTCCATGCTTTGTCAAGATGAAGTCCTAATTAGTAGGAGAAGTCGTTTGACAATAAGTAGATGATACACTCACAGTAGGAGAATCCAAGGAATTAAATATGTGACTAGGTTCCATTGTGACAGCTGGCTGTGGTGCTATACCCCTATAATCCCAGGACTCACGTGGGAGGCTGAGGTGGGAGGACATTTTAAGGCCAGCCTGGGCTACATCGTCAGAGCTCTACAAGGGAAGCCCAATGTGATTTGATCTCAAAGAACAATTATCACAACATACAAGCTTTTTCTTTTTAAATGTGAGTTTTAAATTTCATTTTGTGTGTGTCTGTGTATGTGTGTGTATGTATGTGTGTGCATGCATGTGTGTGTGTGTGTGCATGTATACACTCATATACGTCATGAGTTACAGGTGAAGTTTGGAAGAAAACATGCAGAAGTCTTTTCTTTCCTTTCTGTAAGTCCCAGGAATTGAACTCAGGTCAGCAGGTTTGGCAACAATCAACTTAACCTTCTGAGGCACCCTGGCAGCCTTTTAAAACAAGGTTTAAAATAGAAGTTCTTTTTCATGTGAAAATAGAACAGTGGGAAAGAATGGAGGAAGCTTAAAAGAGTGCCAAGAAGAAAGACAGCTCTTGTCTCTCCAGAACGGCTGCCTTCTAAGGACAACCTGGGAAAGGCTTCTACAGTTCATTCCCATAGTCAGCTGAGATCTCACTCCAACAGCCGAAAGAGGAGAATGGATGCCAGTCAGATCCAGCTCTCAAACACCATGGCTCTTGGTGTAGGCTTACTTGTAAGAGAAAAGAGGCTGAGCAGGAAGAACCTGCTGTGGAGGAGGAGAAAACAAGAGACTTGTTAGTGACAGGGGAGGCCCGAGTACAAAAGAAGGCTGGAAAACTATGTGTAAGCCATCCAGTGCCTGTGGCCTGGGAGCAGGTAGCACAGCTGTTGAGCCCAGCAGGGAGATAAATGGATCCATGAGGTAGCTTTTCTATTGATAACCACATTGATTTTCTAACTCTCTAAATTGATCTGACACAGAGTATAACACAGCTCTCATGGTCATAGCAGCAGGCTCTGAGACTGAGAGTGGTGTTTCTCGATGGGTTGGAGAACAAATAGTTCTTAAGGCACTGATGCGTTTTGATTGTTTTTATCTGACAAGTAATAACGTTGAGGTTCAGAGCTTTCAAGGGATTAACCAAGCTATGACCTAGATTGGTAAAAGGAAAAGACTCAAGATTTATGTGTATGGTGTCTACATCTAAGCAGGTGACAGGAAACTAGCCCCTCGCCCTTTGGGCTTCCTCTTCAGTTTCCTGACTGTTTCCTATGATGTACATAAGCTTCTCAAATTGATATTATCTGCTTTGTCCATTTCTGCTTTCATTGTCAGTGCTTTGGAGAAACGATTCCAAAATTCTTAGCCTGTACCAACCAGCATGTTCAAGTGCTTACCTGTGCCTTCTTAACAGATCTTATACATAGGACTTTTATCCACTTTGGGTCATTTCATCAAAATGAATGATAGGATCTAGTTTCAATCTTTTCAGCACCAATCAGTAAACAGTCAACCTTTTGAAAGCTACCTATAAAAGTGGCTCAGAGATGTCTTGGCTCAGAAAGCCCTAAAAAAATGTCATTCAAAGCAAATATTTACACTCACCTTAAAAACATCTGAGAAACTAGGCCATCAAAGGTATGCATATCTAAAAAGATAAATACGTGAAGGATGTTCCTTTCAGGGAGCATGTGTCCTGCTCCATCTGTGTTTTATAGAGTTGGTGGGTGTGTATACCCACGCCAAAGAGCAGGGTTCTACAAAGGATCAGAGACCCCTAAACTTCTCTGACTTTTGGCTGCACATGATTAAATATGCTGAGAGCAGTTCTGAGCTGGAGTTTAGATGTAGGTTCTCTACTCATGGGATATATCCAGGTAAAGAAAGTACCCAGGATGTGCTGCTGAAAGTAAGGAATATGTGGTGGAATAACCCATGCATGAGCTCTCTCCTTCCACTTAAAGATGATTCTCACTGACCAGTGACACACTGTTCCTAAGCCAGGAATGGTTGCTGTACAGAAGAAAAAGACATCTTGGAAGACACTGGAAAAACAAAAGCTGAAGGCACCAGAATAAACACAGCATAAAAATAAGTACAAATAGAAGTTATAAAACCATTTTTTTTACAATCTCGTGTCTCTTTGATCAAAGTGTCCTTAATTTCCTTTTTATTTCCTTTCATCTCTTCTCCTTTCTCAGCTGCCTCCTTTGATGTGGTGTTGTGTATGTGACTTATTGCATTTAATTAAGGTTGCCTGCATGAGCACAGACATTTATTGTGTCCTAACATAATAGGTCCCGCTCCAGAACTAGAGAATGAGAGTCTGAAGGGGGTGGGTGTTAGATAAATTTTAGGTATCTGAGAACTTTCAAGCTAGTTTTTAGCTAAAGAATTAAGAAAAAAGAAAACAGAGTAAGTGTGGCTAATGCAGTTCATACCCTCAAAAATATTATATTCCAGCCAGATGATGGTGGCACACACCTTTAATCCCAGCATTTGGGAGGTAGAGGCAGGCAGATCTCTGAGTTGGAGGCCAGCCTGGTCTAGAAAATGAGTTCCAGGACAGCCAGAACTGTTACACAGAAAAACCCTGTCTCAAAAAAAGAAAAGGAAGAAAGAAAGAAAGAAAGAAAGAAAGAAAGAAAGAAAGAAAGAAAGAAAGGAAGGAAGGAAGGAAGGAAGGAAGGAAGAAAGAAGAAAAGAAAAAGAAAAAGCGCCATATGCCGATCTAACAAAAATACCATATTCCCTTCTAATTTGCTTTCTTTGAAAAGGGTCTTTACACCAGGTGATTTTACATCGATACTCATTTAGATTCAACTCTAACAGGGCTAACATTTCACAAGGTTGTGCCATTTAAGTATAATTTTAGCTATGCGACCTAGTTCTACTTATCTAACTATTTTAAAAACTATATTTGGAGAAAACCATGTGCTTTACTTTCATAGTTTTCTTTAGATTGACGCAAAAAGCAATCACCCAGCAGCAGCACCACCTTTTTTGCCTTTTCTGAAAACTTTCAAGGGTATTCAGGAAGTCTTAAAATCAGGGGTTCATTGACTTCGTGCATACAGTCTTGTGCCTCTGGGTTTCTTCTCCCTCTAAGATGAAGGGTTAGTGCACTAAGCCTATATTTGTCCACAAGACAATATTCCTAGGAGTCTAGACGTAAAATGTATATAAAGTATTATTCTGAAACGTTTCTCTCTTGTGAGCTTATAACATGGATTATGATAAACAAAATTTGTGTATATGAACATTGCTTTTTAGAAATACATATGTATGTATATATGTGTGCGTTAATATACTGATATATTTAACATATAAAAACATACATAGACTTATATATGTATATTATTAATACATCTGAGCTCCCTTAATTTTACTCCCAAAAAGTTTCTTACATCCAATTAGTACCCTTCTTTTTCTCTGCAGCTGTTCTAGCCTACAACCTTTGAAATGCTTCACTGAGACCAAAGTTGTGGCTTTCTCATGACTATTTCCAGTCTCGTCTGCATTCCACTTTGCCATCAGATCCCCTATCTGCAAAGAGGCATCATGATGTCATTCTCCACCTCAAAACTCTCAGCGGTTCTCCTGTGTGGAAAGTCAAAGTCTTAGCACAGACAAGATCTGGGAGAAATATCGGCCATCACCATCAGTATCCTACCCAGTCTCTCTTCTCAACACTTGTGTCCATCAACTGAACCCAGTTTCTTGTTCACAGATTTGCCCCAAGTCTGTTATAAACTTTCAAGTCTCCCACGCTCTACTGGCCAGCATTCTTTTTGTCTCCTTGTTTGCCTAAGAACCTTCATGTATAAGGTTTTTTTCATATTATTTATTTTCCTTCCATTTCTTCCTTAACAGATTTTAAGCAAAATAAAAGTTAAGATTGTAGGTAGGCCTTGTGACTCAAAACTGTATTCTCAGCTTTTCAATATCTGGAAGCCTGGATCAGGAGGAAAGCCAAGAGAACAATGGCAAAATGGACACGCATAACATATATGCACACACACACATACACACAAAGGGCATACAAATGCCAATAAGGGCTAGTTCTGTGGCTCATTTACCTTTGAACCTTTAGAGTTTGTAGCAGTAACTTACACACACAGCAGATGCTCAAGAAATGATGGCAAATATAAATTCAGTGGGCTTGAAATGCCTTCCGTTAAATTTTGAAAAGAAAAAATCTCCATAGCAGAATATCCTACCACATATCAGCTCACTCATATTCAGATGGAAATATACTTTATTTCAGTGTAGGCCATGAAAACTCCAATAGGCTTGTATGTGCTGTGGGTCACAGAGTTTGTCCCCCAAAACAGTACTGAAGAAACAGGAGCTAATTATTAAGCAATATCAGGATATGATGTTGCACGCCTTTAATTCCAGCATATAGGAGGCAAGGCAGGTGGATCTCTGAGTGTGAGTCCAGCCTGGTCTACAGAGTGAGTTCTAGGACAGCCAAGGCTAGACAGAGAAACCCTGTATCGAAAAACCAAACCAAAACAACAGCAACAACAACAACAAAAGAGGGTAATAATCAGGCACCAGGCTTACAAGTGAATCTGCTCCTACCTGTCAGGTCTGAGTTGGGCCACCACCCCAGGTCACAGGCTCTGCAGGTGAACTCATCTTGCACAAACTCATTCTCTTTGCATGCCGTGCAAATCCAGCAGCAGCTCACTTCTCCTTTCCGGATGACCTGCAAGACAGCAAGGTGTGCATTGTTCTCTTGGCTATTCTCCTGATCCAGCCTTCCAGATACTGAGATGCTAGGATTACAGGCATGAGCCGTCAAGGCAAGCTACAATCTTAGCTCTTATTTTGCTTAAAATCAGCTAGGGAAGAAATGGAAGGAATATAACAATTAATATAAAAAGATGCATACACAGTACATGAAGGTTCTTAGGAAGGTGCTTGGCACCCAAGACGCTCCTGTTTCAGGTGAGTACTTGAACAACCTTGAACAAACTCCTACCTGCTAAAAGAACCCGAGGAAGGTTTGAAAGCCCCATGTTCTAAGAGACCAGGAGTGGATGTCAACTCATTCTGTCCTGAGTTTGGAAGCCTTTTGGTGGCACTTTTATACAATGAATCAACTACATTATTTTTGTAGCACTTTAAAGAAATAAGAATTTAAAACAGGTATGGTGGCGCACACCTTTAGTCCAGCACTTGGGAGACAGAGGCAGGTGGATCTCTGTGAGTTTGAGGATAGCCGGATCTATAGCACAAGTTCCAAAACATTCAGAGCTACATAGTGAGACCCTGTAACACTACGAAACAAAACTATAACTTTATCCTTAGTTATATTAACATTTATTAGTTACTTTAAAAGTAAAAACTGATTATATATTTTCTCCTGAAAAAGTCTTACCATCCTTTAAATTTATTGTAAGAACGCTGTGGGAAGATAGACATGGACCAAGAGTTGTGGCTGGCTGTCTCATAGACTAGACACATGCTTTGTTTATTTTGTATTTTTAGGTAGTTTTCTCTTGATGTGGACAAGTGAGTGGACTTAGAGCTAGTTAGGCTTCTTAGGCAAAGATGCTGGAAATGTTTGATGTTTGTCCTGATAATGTTTTAGGTTTTCCAAATTGCTCACAGTATCTAATAAGTTTGGACCAGATGTTGGGCACGATGTTCATGAAGGCTCAGGATGCTGCACCCATCTCTCTCTCTTTCTCTCCTTCCCCCACTCCCTCTAGTTTTCAACCTTGTCTAGCAGGCAGTTAGTTATAGCCAAGTTTTTCCTCCTTTGGACCCTGTCTTTGGTGGACGATATCCATCCCTTTAACACTGTGGTGCTATCTTCCATCTGCAAACTTATCAGAGCCACATCCACAGGTATCTTAGGATGCATGAAGCCGATGGGCTGCAGTTTGGACATATTTGCTATAGCAAGCCTAGAATGGTTTACTGTAGGAACTGTTCAGCCACATTATTAAATTCTGATTATTCTGGTCCTTTATTCAATTTCCAATTGTGTGCATGTTCAACAAGACATCTTTATTCCGGCTGGTAGAAACTGGGACATTTCTTGGATCTGTGTCAGCTCTGAGAATTCACTTCCCTGGGCTTTGGTCTTTGCCTGGACCATGCAGATTCTACTCTGCTCATGTTCAGGCTGATGCTCAAATACTCAAGGGAATGCCTGTACTAATTTCTTGGATTACGTATTTCTTTCCTGCAGGAATCCACCGTCTTGATTCCCTGTTGCAAACTGCAGCTCTCCTGGCTTTCCCGAACTCTGGTTCTGTCTTCTTGAATTAGCAAGATGGCCAAATTCTGTGTTCTGTGTAGTCGAGCAATCAGGAGATTGCCTCCAGGCAGGAAGCCTGAGTGGTTTTAGGGCTTTCCTTGCACATTTTCTTTTCACTTCCCTGGCATCAAGGTTACACGCTGTCTTCCAATGTCAGAACACAGTGGCTTCAAATATTTTGTCAAGCTTTTTCATTGTTTATGGCAGAAGGCACAGCCTGCACCCTGTTATTCCCACATGTAGAGTAGCAGAAGTCCTCTGCCATCACATGAAAAATAACAAACATTTCCATATGTAAAGTCAGGTGATGTGGGAGTGATTTCTTATTAATAAAGAAACTGCCTAGGCCCCTTGATAGGCCCACCCTTAGGTGGGTGGAGAAAACAGAAGAGAATTCTGGGAGAAGGAAGCTTAGTGAAGGAGTCGCCATGATTCTCCCGCGCCAGACAGACGCAGGTTAAGATCCTCCCTGGTAAGCCAGCTCGTGGGCTACACAGAATATTAGAAATGGGTTAGAACAATATGTAAGAGCTAGCCAATAAGAAGCTGGAACTAGCCGGGCCAGGCAGTGTTTGAAAGAATACAGTTTCCGTGTAATTATTTCGGGCATAAGCTAGCCATGCGGGCGGCCGGGTGCCGGGGATGCAGCCCCGCCGCTCCTATTTCAACAGTAAGGATTAAGCTGCAAATATTGCCATAACTTAAAGTGATAGACACCCCATTCAGCATTCATAAATCTGAATTATTTTCAGGCAAATTTGAAATTTGTACCATCATTTTAGAATTTCAGGGAAAGGTCAAATGACAGAATATTTTCAACAAATGTAAAAAGTTTTTTTTCTTATTTTACTTTCAAATGACTTTTGAGAGTACAGTGAAATTTAGTGTTTTGGGTTTTTATTTGAAAATCATTTTCAGATAGTCTTAGAGTAGGTGTAGGAAATTTATATCTCAAGCAATAATTGCTTTCTAAATGGTAACGTAAAAATGTAATTAATAAATGGATATTACTTTCTTATTTGACAATGTTTTTTTATCCTGTCACTTGTATTATTTTTAATAAAATGTTGATTAGCCAGTAACCAGGCAGGAAGTAGAGATGGGGCAACGAGAATTCTGGGAAGAGGGAAGTAGCAGTCTGCAGCCGTGACCCAGCCACAGAGCAAGCAAGATGTGACTGCCTTGCCGAAAAAGGTAACAAGCCATATGGCTAACATAGACAAGAATAAAGGGCTAATATAAGTTATAAGAGTTAATGAGAAGCCTGAGATAATGGGTCAATCAGTTCTATAATTAATGTAGACCTCAGTGTATTTATTTGGGACTAAACGGCTGCAAGACTGGGCAGGACAGAAACCTCAGACAACAACTATTTAGGCAAATTCAAAAGATAATACTAAATAAATTTCCCAGACCCACTTTCTGCATCCTTTTTATATCTCTTAGGTTTTCAGTACTTCAAACAAAGCTTTGGGATTAAAAGGGCAAGAGCTAATCTACCAGTAGATTTTATCAGGAACGGTGTTATAACATTAGTGACTAGAAATTTTGTTGACATGTTACAATGTTTCCGTCATTGCAGAAGGAATGGAATGGTAATGCTGATCAAAGTCCCATCCAGCTGAGTTCACAGAATATAAATTTTATATTCTATCACATGACTGAAGTTGATTTTGTTCCCAGAGGACATTAAGTGCGCTACTAGCAGGTGTGCTAGAGATTAGTATAGTAATATTATAGTATTCCCATACCTCTGTCTCCATTTTTCTCTTCAATAACATGGACTTGTATAAAACTTGTTTATTATTGTTATTTCTGAATAAAGTAGAAGGAAGAACTGGCATCAAATAGTAGAGACAGATACATATACACACAGAATCACATAGTCTTTATGTTCTTAATTTTGTGATGTTCTTAATTTTGTGATGTTTTTAATTTTATTGGAAAAAGTATAGACATATTAGCTGCCTGATAATTTTGCTCGAGAATGAATATTCAATCTCCCAAATAAACATCTCTTTGAGAATGATTTTGAAATTGAACTAACTAAATGACCAAAATACATAGAACTACTTAAGAATAATAAAAAATGAACAGATAGCTGTGCATACGAAGAGGAAAATGACATGGAAACAACGGGTCTTAAGAAAGAGTTACTAAGGGTCAGTTACTGCACGGATGATCAGAGAGCGCTTAAGTCACCTGGGAATCTAAATCCCTAATGTGCTTCAGTCTTGTAGCACCTTCTCTAAAACAACCCAGCAACTTTTTATTAACGTCCTGCATTGAAAGAAGAGAGGGTAAATATAAGGAATTAAAACCACCAATGTAATTTTAAAAATATTATTAGAAATCTCAAGTTTTCTCCAAAGGGAACTTCTCCAAGTTCTTATAGCTACTGTCTGAAAAACAGAGAGATCAACCCCTGTAGCAGTGCCCCCACAAATCCTCAGGGCACATACCTAGGAACACCCTGTTCTCATTAGTAACAAATATAAATGGTTGCTTAATGAATTCTTTAAGATACGCTGTATCTATAAAAACATCTGACATCACATTAAAAATTATAATATCCCCTGTACTTTTCTACTCAAGAAATCTGTCTCTGCCTTTTTTGCCCATCATGAAACAAACAAACAGACCGAAAATCAGTAATAACAACAGCAGAGTAATATATGAGGCTAAGGTTGAATAAAGTACTGTCTGTCAATTCAGATGGAGCTAAACCTCTCTCTCACTAGTAGAAAATACAGTAAATGGATTGTCCAAATTTATGAGCAGGGAAAATTACTCCAGTTTTGAAGACAATATGTGTGGTTGGGATTTGATCTAAAAAATACAAAAGGCAGAAAAAATATCAGCATTGCCTTACTGCATAACAATAGGACATGTATAATGAGGAAATTCTTGCAGGATATAGCTGTTCACCAGAATATGTGAAGAGAAGCAGAAACTTCTCTCTCTTAGTCCAGCTTTCAACCCAAGCTCTGAGTCTTGGGAAAACAAACTTTAGACCAACTTAAATAAAAAAAGGTGTAAAAGGTGTGTGTGTGTGAGAGAGAGAGAGAGAGACAGAGACAGAGACAGAGAGAAAGAGAGAGCGAGAGAGAGAGAGAGACAGAGAGGAGGGGTGGGGAGAGCATGCAGGAGATCTATAAAGCAATCTGTACAGATTCATCCTCTAGCACTTTGTCTCTACCAAACTTCCCCACCCCTTTTGCAAAAGCACTTCTCCCTAATTCCGTAAATGCATCCCTTTGTATTTTTAAAGTGGATCACTATGTTTTTATTGTGAACTGTTGAAAAACCAGTGCTTAGGAATTGAAATCCACACCTAGGGGAAACAGGCCAGTTCACATAATGACAGAGTTGAACAACGTGTGGCTATGGGATGATAAAAGCTTTGACTTGGCACACAGCCCAGCGTTGTAACATTGTAGATGCAAAAATGGAGAAGCATGAGACTCAGCCCCTATAAAGGAGGGCCAGTAACACCTTCTGTGTAAGAACCACGTCAAGGAGCAACTTGTAAGGAATCCATTGTACTTCGACAAGGACTTATTGGGTGACTCTAAGTCCCTGACTTCCTTCCTTCTTCCTTTCTCCTTTCCTCTAGAATCTTCCTTTGACTTCCTACCCATTCTTGTTCCTTCAGGTTTTGTGTCCTCTCTACGTTAGTTCCCACTTGTCTGGGTTAGAATTGCGCAGTATCAAATTGCCACTGAAGGCTGTGTAGCTTAGTTCGTATGGTTCAAGGACACCTGCGAGATCTGTTGCCCACTTTCTTCTGGGTCTATTTGGCAAAGAAAAAGGACTAAGGGCAGGAACACCGAAGATAAGGTCTCCTCTCCCTCCCCACCATTGTGCATGAAAGTATCTTAGAACAAGGTTTGAATTCTTCCATTGCCCTTCTGTTTAGAGTGGAAATGGAGTCCACTCTTTCTCATCTTTGGGTTGCCTCAGTGTTCCCTTTGCTTTTATAACCAATTTTCTATATTAAATACTCTATATTGAACTGTATGGCATAGGGTCTTTTGAACAGACTAGATCTATAAGAAATAACAATAAAATATATTTTATTTACCGTGTCCAGAGTTGACTCTCTCAATAAAGCATTAACACGGTAAGATATTATTTTTGTAAGTTATATATGTCTAAGAAGTAATAGAAAAAATGGGCTTAATAACCTCAAAAGAAATTATTATAATAAAGTTTTATGGATTCTCAAAAAAGACATCAAATTATTAATTTATCATTTATGGCATTTGATGTTTAGAAGGTTTTGTTTGTTTGTTTGTTTGTTTGTGAAGGCACCTGGTATGGGAGGTCCTTTTGTCTATGTGTTGATTTTATTGGTTAACGAATAAAGAACTGCTTTGAGCCTATGGCAGGGAAGAACAGAACTAAGTAATTCTGTATGCTGGGAGGAAGAAAAGGCAGAGTTGGAGAGACGCCATGGAGCTGCTGCCAGAGACAGATGCGCTGAAACTTTGGTGGTAGGCCACGACCTCGTGGTGATGCACAGATTAATGGAGATGGGTTAAATTAAGATGTAAGAGTTAGCCAATAAGAACCTAGAGCTAATGGACCAAGCGGTGATTTAATTAGTACAATTTCTGAGTGATAATTTCCCGTCTAAGCTAACCGGGCAGCTGGGAAGAGCAAGTGGTCTCCCTGCAACAAAGGGCCTCCCTCTAACAGGCACCACTTCCCCGTTAATATAAATTCATGAATGTTCTATGATCCTTTTCAGGCTGACTATTTTCGCAGTGGCTACTGAGATCTCATTCTCTATCCCAAACCTGGTAGGTGGCAAATTAGTGGTGTTAGAATATAAGTTTTATTATTTGGTAATGGGATTCAGATTCCATTTGTTTCTCTACGTCCCAAGGTGTTTCTGGGAAACAAGCAAAGATCTCCCCTATGCAGGTGCTACTGAGAACAGGCACATTTTTCTCTGGCAGAGTACAGAATATTTCTAAAATTGGCCCCTGAGAGATTTGTATTTACGGTAAGTTGTCTGCAACGGTTCAGCAATGATTACTGGGGTCTCCTGTGATAACCTCATAAGGGTGTAACACAGTCACACTGCCAGAAACACTTCAGCATCTAGGCAGACTGACACAAGCAGGCAGCCTTGTCTCTGAACTTGGGGAGAACAAAGGGCCTCTCTTCTGGAATATGCAAGTGGAATATTGTGTGAGCACATGTGTGAGAAGCCAGTCACAACCTGCAAAGGACAGAATGACAGGAGATGTTGTGCAGGATCTGGAAATTTTTTCCTGCTATTTTTCTCCTCTACCCTATATCCTAAAAATCAAGATTACTCTATTAACTGTTCAGTAGTGGTCATCTAGAAAGCCAACTCAATGCCAACCAGACTGGAAACGAGCAAGAAAGTCATTGAGCTGGGGCTTTTCTGTTCTCCCCACACATGACTTGTCATCCAATGCTTTGTTTTTCCTATATGTACAAATCAGCCAACCAGGCAAACAAAAGGGCCCAACACAACAAGAATCCGTTGGTCTGATGCCTTATAGTATCAGGCAAGGGGAAGTCTGATGCCTCTGGATCTCAGAGGACATATTCCTAAGTACCACCAGATGGCCTACTGTGAAAGAGTTCCATCTAGACAAGAAAGTGGATGTCCACATTGAAGCAGTGCTGTTAGCTAATCTTTGGTGATTTGGCTGAAGTCACTCGTAGACCACTGAAATGTCCCTGCATACACTGGAAAGTAATGTCTCACTATCTCCTTTGCTCCACACTATGCAGGCTATGTGCAGACTCCTTAGTGAACATGAACCATTGAGTTAGTACATGTTCTGTTCCTAAAACAAAATACTGGAGGCTACAGGATTCATAAAAAAGAGAGAATTATTTAGTTCACAGTTCTGATGACTAAAAGTCCAAGACTGGACAGTACTTCTTGTCTGCTCCTGGGGGCTCCTTTGGGCAACATCACAATAAAGAGGAGAAGTGACGGCATGCAGAAGGGTCTAAGCACATGAGTGACCTGACTGTATAACAAACTACTGTCATAATAATATTTTGAATGAGACAAACGATGAACATTAATCTGTTTGAGGATTGATACCCTCCCTCAATGACTTAATTACTTTTCCATTGGTCTCACCTCTTAAAGGTCCCACCACCTCTCCACATGCTCACACTGAGGACTGAGTCATGGTACACAAACGTTTGTGGCACACACACCAACTATAATATCCACACACTAAGGGGCTCACCATGGCTACGGTGGCCATAGTAAGAGTTCATTAGCACCCATCTATCTAGCAGCCATGAGTATAATTAAATTTAATGTAACTTCTTCTGAGAAGGTGCAAGATGATAATAACTACAGCTGCTCTCAGAACTTCACTATTTCCTTAAAGTGGCTGGAGTTACCATGAGGATTTCCTCCCTGACACGTCTTCTGAGCTGCTTCAAGCTCTTAGAGGTTCAAAACCTTTCAGCTTTTCTAGTAGTTCATATAAGGCTTTTCAATCCTCCACAGAAAAGCCTAGGTTAGGCTCCGGCTCTAGGGAGCTTAAGTATACTGAGTGTTCCTCCTCATGCCTTGGACCTCCGCTGCATGGGGTGGAGGGGGTCTGAAGCTCTGGGGCAGAGTAAAGCATCATGATGACACAGGGAGGGGTCCAGCACTTTACACGAGATCAACTCCAGCCCCAGCTGTGGCGTGTGTGACATTTACGTGACAGCCCGTCTGCTTCTTCAGATGAATCACAGTGAATTAGAGCTGGGGGAACCTATTAGTTTATCTGAGCTGCCTGCTTGCCAGCTCACTGCCCCTCCCCTATACTCTATTGCTTCCTGCATCATCCAGCCAGAGTATAAACAGCCTGTACCTAAAGCCATGTTTTCCAGCCTTCTTCTCTGACCTCCCCTCCCCTCAGCCCATCCAGCAAGAAACCTGATATTTCGTATTTATTTTCTCTAGTTTTCTACATATAGTAAAATTATGAGCTACTTACTTCCTTTCCCCTGAATACAATTAAAAATTGGACACTCTCTTTGTTTAAATAATAGTCCACTTCAGGAGAACCAAAGGACTTGGTAGGGAAAGGGCAATGCTAATCACCGTATCTGCATTGTTTTGGTATTTCTTAACCCCATGCTGGATTGTCATTTTAGCTACGTGCTTGGAATTGAACAGCTTCTGCCTTCTTTAACAATAGCTGGAACAATGACTAAGTGATATTACTGGTTTGATTCCCACATTTACTTTTGTTTCTAAGTTTTAATTTTAAAATAATTGGCAAAATGTTATATCAAGTTGGGCAACACGGAGGTTTGATATATGTATGCATTGTATAATGATTGCCACAGCGCAGTTCATTAACACATCCATCACAGTCCATGCTGTGCTTTAGCTCTCCAAAGCTTTCTTTAGTAATAGCTGCCACTATGACTAAGCACCATTACTGGCTTCCACACTTAGTTCTCTTTCGGTTTTTAATGCTGTTATTCATCCCCTTGCTGCCTACATTATATGTAAGTCCCCAGCTTGTCACTGCTATTAAAATAAAAACTTAAACTATTTCAGTAGTTTTTATAGTTCCTAACCAAAGATCTAGATATCTTAAATATCTAATATCATCTAAATACCTATCCAAATAGCTAAAAACCTATATCCTAGCCTAATAGTTACCTATGTCTTAGCTTTTCTTGGCAGTTTTAGCTAAACATAAGGGCATGATCAGCAATCTCAGGCACCCTTTCCGGATAGTCTTGCTTTCAAATAGCTGTTCTTTTTACTATGGCCCAGGGGGTGAAGCTCATTTCTAACAATGTCCAGGGATGCATTTGCAGTTTACCTTAATCTGACCCTTTAGGCAGGGCTCGCTGCACACAGAGCGGACCATCCCGCTTTTGTTCATCTGGATTTTGTAATCGTCGATGTTCAGAACGCCTTCATGCCAGGTCCCCACGTGGACATAGTCATAGCGATTGGCTTCAGTGTACTGTAGATTCATGATATCGTACCTGTAAGAAGATAAAAGCATGTGAGCTTTCCGGGATGTCTCTCTGACGGAGAAAACTTGTAAATAAATGGGTTCTTGTGAAAGAACGGAGATCAAAACTAGGATCATCACACATCCCTGCCTCAGTGCCTGTCACATTTACAGTTTGTTCTGAATAGTTCCTCTCTTCAGGAACTATCTGTGTACCATCCATTTTTGATAAATAATTCATTGATATCAAATCTTTTCTCTGTTTATACTTCAAAACATAATGGTATATGTGTTTAATTGGTCAACTCCTTAAACTCTTGTAGTACACTTTGAACAAGTAACAATCCATGAGAACATAAGTTTCTGTGCTTAATTGCCTTATTTCATATTCCCTTTTTGCACTCAGTTGTAATTTTCATTCCAATAAATCTTTAAGTGGGAGATGGAGGAAGTACAAGGCTTAGAATTACTAAGTACAAATAAAACGAGAAGCCTGAAAAGAACATCTTTCGTTAGTAAAGAGGTCAAGGATTTTATATGTGTGTTATGGAATGCTTGTGTGTATTATATGTTCGCTTTGCTCCATATGTGTATGGTATATGCCCTTGAATGGGTGGTACCCATGTGTACTTGAGGAGTCTGGAATATGACATTTGGCATCTTCTTCTATCAATCTCTATCTTGCCGCTTAGTGCCAAGGTCTCTCATTGAACCAGAAGCTCATCATTTTGGCTGTGTGGGTTGCCCAGTTGAGGATCCTCCTGTTCCTACTCCCCCCATGTTGGGGCTATAATTATGAGTAATTGTTCCTGGTGTTTTATATGTGTGGTAGGGATTTGAACTCACACCTTCTTGCTTATCAAGCAAGCAGTCTTACCCGTAGCCCCATTTCGCCAGCCAATTTATTATTTGGTACACTGATATTCAAAGAGTTCTCTTCTTTGGTTGAGACAAACACTTGTGAAACCGAACAATCTGAGCCAGCTATTTCATTAGCTTCCAATGTTGCACAAAATACTGAAGTCTTGGGGGCTGGAGAGATGGCTCAGAGGTTAAGAGCTAGCACTGGCTGCTCTTCCAGAGGTCCTGAGTTGAATTCCCAGCAACCACATGGTGGCTCACAACCATCTGTACTGAGATATGGCGCCCTTCTCTGGTGTGTGGGCATACATCGAGGCAGAATGTTGTAAACATAATAAATAAATAAAAAAACATACTGAAGTCTTCCATAGTAAGCGTGGCAACACACACTTTTTTTATTTTTCTGTTTTATTTTCTCCCCCAATAAATGTTACTGCAACCAAAGTATCTTTCGGGAACCAGAAGATATTTTTCCCCTGGGATACAGCCACAGACAGTTAACAATACGATGGATAGAACAGAGGATTTGTCATCAGGACGTGTGACCTGGAGCCTTGTCTCACATTTAAATAGTAAGCTAACTACTCAGGGCTATCACTAATTTCTGCAACCTTCATTGGGATCGTATATGGACTTTGGAACCTAAGACACATCAGAAGCTCCTTTATAATTATGGATTATGCAAATTCATGTGCTAAGACCCTTACTCCAACGTGGTGGACAGTGATGGGGTCATGAGGAAGGAGCACTCAGGGTTGAGATTCTTGCCTCTGAAAAGCAACTTGAGAAATCTCCTTTGCCTTTTTGGTACACATGACCACCATTAGAAGAAACCATCTGTGAGTCAGAAAGCAGACCCTTGTTAGACAGCAAATCTGCTGGTGCATTGATCTTAGGTTACCTAGTCTTCTGAATTGGGTCTACCAAGTATCTATTCATAAACCACAGGGCAGACGGTATCTTATACAGCTCCAAAGGTAAGACTCAGCGTGCATTTGAAGCATTGCCTAAGATCATCCATAGTTCTACTTCTAGGAACATGTTAATATACTGACTAGTTCTATTACATTAAAAAAATTGGGAAGACACTGCTCTTGGCATAGTCCTTCATTCCTGACATTTCTCAAGTAGTCTTCCTTTTACTTTTGTCCTTCTATAACATACAGTAGCTTCCTGAAGCAATCTGCTTGGCTTCTTCTTACTGGATCTGCTGAGGGAGTGTGATCGGTAGAGCTCTGCACACTCCTTAACCTCTTGGACTAGAACATGGGTCATCATGGCTACCTCTCTTTATGGTTGATTGAAGGAACTAGATGGCAATAGGCCAGCACATTTGCCTGTTCCTGAGCAGTCTTCTATTCCATCCGACCTCCCATGCCCCTGCTTTCTTCATTCCAGAATACTTTTCCCTTTGAACCTGGGTCAGACTGAGTCACACTCCCAGTACTATGGGCAGCTACAGTGCATCAGCCTGTGTTGTCTTCTGAAATCTATTGGCTGTACCTGGCCTGCTTCCTTATCTAGACAATAGCTACCCATTTATTGACATTATTTTGCCTGTTCTTAATGTGCAAATGTGTCCTGTCACCCACAGGGTAACTCAAAGCTTCTCCACATCCAGATTCTAACAGTTTCTAAACGTAGCAACTTCCCGAAAGAAAAGCCACTTACAGAAAATAAAGGAAATTTCCCCTTGCCCAGTGGGGAAAATTTACAGAGTGTGCCTGGAACTCTTATTTATCTTTTGCTGCTCTGGTTTTTGGCTGATACTTATGATCTTCCTTGTTGCTGAGGCTTACTAAAAATATTTCAGAGTAGCTCTGAGTGTGGGTTAAGTGGCTATTAATTGTGAGCTGATAGCTCACACTCATCTAGGGGTCAATGAACAATCTACATCTCCAATACCTCTACATTCTGAGTGCATGCCAACGAACCTGTTGCGGCTGTTCAATACGAGTCTTTCCATTTTTTTCCCATTAATTTCTGCACTTAACTCCACAGTAGAATGTGACACTTCCTCCCAAGCTTAGTGATGGCTTTGCAAGCTGCCAGCTTGAGCCATCTCTTCCCTATAAATCACTTCCTGAGGTTCTTATTAGCACCTCCTCATTTGCTCTTTCATAGCGAAAACCAGTTCACACTTCATTAACATTTGGAAGCTGAAAATTTCACAATATTTTCTTATGAAAACACTCTTTTAAAAAAAGTTTCAAATGCTGGAGGAAAAACAACAACGACGCAACTACCTAGAAGGTATCAAGGGAGGAAGACAGGCTTATAGGGAAAAGAGCTTCCAGTATTGGCATGTAAATAATAAACAGAGCACCCTGCCCTTTTAACTCCGGGGTTTCTCCCAGGTCTGTCTTTTCATTTTATTTAAAATGTCCTTATGTAAATCACACCCACATGAAATCTCACCACACTCACTTTATGTTATGTGATGATTAACTAAATAATTCCCAGAGGGACCAAAAGCATGTGATTTATGACAGGAACTAGATCCCCAAGGCAGGTGATGCGAGGAGGAATTGAACTGATTAAGCGGACGAACCTCATGCAGGAAGATGTTTACTATGTAATTAAAGATGGAAGATATCGAAACTGGTTGCTTTTTTATGATCTGGATGACTAATATATAGAAAAAGAAGAAGGAAGGAAATGTGCATTTACTGAGTGTGAAAATTCTCTGACCCTGTGCTAATTAAACCCTAAGTGAATCCCACAGGTGCTTTGGAGATCTGCTGTTGCTATTATTAATTTTATTATTATTACTGTTTGGGATCATGGAGGAGGGCTTACAGTGCAAGTCTGAACCTCTGCCAAGCCTCATTTCCAGTAGATTCAGGATTAAAAGAGTGGGATTAGATGGGCCTGGATCTCGAACCCTTTATGTTCCTCCTGAAACCACTCCCTAAGGTATTTATAGCCCCCCATTCCCAGACCCTGCAACACCATCTCACTCGCATTCCCATCGACACCTGCCCCCACTAAACTGGCATCTTGGAAGGAGTCCTATAGTACATGATTTTAGTTGTTGATAAAGGCATATCATTTATCCTGAATTGAGCTGTTGGATTTTTACGGGGAGATTCCAGTTAACCCACACAGGAGATTCTCCACAGGTAAAACTTGACACTTCCATACTAAGTCTCCCACGGTACTTCTGTGGTGACACAAAGAAATTTTCCAGCAATTTTGCCTAATTTGAGGGTTAAGCAAAAAGTAGCGTGGTATGACGAGGTGATTGCAAACGCCAGAGGCAGATCACACTGCCTCTGCCACTTCGTCTCTGTTGATGTTCAGTGATAGGCTTACTTTGATACTCTTTCATTATCTGTCAGAGAAGGAAGTCAGTGTACCAACAGTCATAAGACTTAAATAAGTTGACCTTAGCATAAAACATGTTTCCCTAGAAATCTCTAAACCTATAAAACCATACTCTGGAAGATAGCAGGGACTGCATGATGGGTTCACCACATCATCTATAGGCTCAGAGCCTTTGACCTTCCTGCTACGGATTTCAATCCCTCTGTCATTCTTATTATCTCTGTATGAATGAATACAGCTAACATCGACACAGAACACATTCACTGTGCACCAGCTATGTATGAGCTCACTGATGGTATCAAAACAAATGTTGCAGAACAAATTGTGTGTAAAATGATGCAAAGGAAAATTATATATGTTTTTCCTTTTCTATTTGCTGATTATTCATTTTGGAAAGCCACTACAAACCAAAATCCAGTCCACAAACTCATGAGTCTTTCTTCTTTTGAGACATATGAACAGAACAGAAACATGCTTCAGCCTGAAAGATAAGAATGTGTGGTTTGGTTCTTGTCACATAATATTAATCAGGTATAGTGTGCATAATATTTCATGAGGAGAATAGCATTGTGTCCATCAATGTGAATGGTGCCAGCTAGTGCAGGCAGTGTTTGCTAAGGTTCTACTATCCAAGTGCAATGCTTTCAGGAGATATCAGGAATCCTGAGGGAAAGGCCAGGAGATTTCTCAGTGTGAGGGTAGCTAGCAGTGTGAAAGATTCTTAGAGTTAAGCATGAACTATTTTGACCTTTTCAAAAGTGGTGTGTTCTTAGTTTCATCTATTTTTTTTTTATCTGTCTAGATGATTTTATCTTCAACACTCCCATACCGGGGAACCCAGTTGCCACTGTCTGACTCAGTGGTCATGAGAATAGAGATTCTTTACCTTCCAGGAGCATCCCCCTTCTCATCGAACCACACCTCCTCTCCAGAGACACCAACAAAGGAGGATTTGATGAGGAAATCCAGGAGCTTCCTGCCATCAATGGGCTTCATGGCATCACACAGGCCCACATGGCCAGGACACAGAGCATGGTGCATGTTCTGCAACCCGTGCGCCATGGCGTAGATGGCATTGATGACAAACCCCATTTTACTGTCCTGGACGTAGTTTTCTTCCAAGCTTTCATTGCCTGTAACAAGCAAAACAGATCACTGCCAAGGTCACAAGCATGAATCAAATCAGGGCCATATACTCATTGCTCAGTGAAAATCGGGGATACACACTGAAGCGCAATGCAAGTCAGGGCTACACACTCATTGTCCAGTGCAGATCAGGTCTAACCACCCAATACTCGGTATAGTTCAGGGCTCCAGACCCTAAAATGAACCATGACATTGGCAGAAGCAAAGCCCAACTTGAACTATTGACCGACTGTACTATATTCTGTCTGAAAACAGCATTTTCCATGCCCTCTTCTTTATTAAGTTAATATTTTATGAGTTATGGAGCAAGCAGGATTGAAGTAAAAATTAAAAAAAATTCATATAAGTCAATTATCAAGGAGCAATGGAAAGAATTCTTTCCCCCTTTCTTTTGCAGGTATATGCAAACTTCCCAGTCTCGTGGTAAGGAAAAGCATTTTTTTGCATCTGTTATGATGATCTGTAATTCATGGTAATTCTGTTTGTACAATGTCTGATGGCTTGTTTTTGTGACTCTCTTTATATTGTCATCTCTAGTGACATGCAAACCCAGTGTTAGAAGAATTATGTTTCAAACACATTTGTCAATCAGCAGGCACTCTGCTAAAGTGTTTCGTGGTGAAGAAGTCATACTCTATATCAAATTTAGCCCGTTTTACTTGTGAATCACAAGCTTTGTTCCTTGTGAATTTTGAAAGCACTGGATCATTCCTACCCCTGTTTTAGCTGAGTAAAGCTTCCCCAACTTCCAACTAGCTTTATAGCCACTGTAGCATTAGATCTAAGCTCCATATTGGAAATCTCTATTTTAGAACACATATCTGTACGAGAAAGTTAGAGACCATTTGGGCTTTGTGAAATAAATTAACACTTTTGGAAAACTAAATAAACTTTGCCTATATCACCAACATACTTTAGGGAGCCTGGACTTGGTCTTTAGATTCACTCTTACCAAGAGCTAGCTGAAGGTATTTAGAGAGTCTAGATTGAGCCTCTAGAAGGAACAGTAAGGAATTTTGACCTTGATATTGAACTTGGAATAAAAATAGGTATTACTAGAGTTCTATTTAGAGAATGGTCTATTTAGTTGGAATTGAGACAGATACTTGAGTATCAGCCCTAAGAGTGAGGTGCAAATTATGGAATCAACTCAAATCCATCTTCCAAATGCTTGAGAGGTCTATGTTAGAAGAGTGCAATTTGCTTATGTACTATTTGTCTGACTGAAAGAAAATCTTCCAAGAGGAATCCAAGAGTAAGAGCGGTCAAGAGGGCATTTGAAAAATCAAACCGCACAGAGTGAAGGCACAGCATTGGAACAGGCTGAAAGGACAGATACACCTTACAAAGGTTGTCAAGTTTTTGAAATAAGGTCACTGAGGTTGGTATCCCCAGGAAAACCTGTCTTAACCCAGTGGCTGCCCAGTGGTACTTCATTCATCAGTACCAAGGCAAAATGTATTCTTGGATATCTGTGAAATCAGTGTCTGTTCTTGTGATCCTTATTTAGGGTGATCATGTAACTTATCCAAAATGGGTCATTTCTTTTCAGAATGCAAGTGAGTGGGAATCGTAATGTTTCCAGAATATAAGTGCTAAGAAGGCAAGCTGGGGAAATTGACATACGTTCTAGAGGCTATGACCTCCAACTGTACCTAGTTAGTGATCATATATGGGTAATATTTATGTATGGACACAGGTAAATATGAACACATGTAAGTATACTATATAGTCAGAATACTCACATTAATTTTGATTAATTTTATAGTTATTTAGTTTTTATTGCATAACATAATAGCTACAGATTTTGAGTTTATGTTATAACAGCACTCAGTAAATGAAATTTTCCAGATAGACATTAACCTTCCCATTTCACAGACAAACATAGAAAGAATAGGCTGTAATATGGATCCAATGTCTTTCCTTTTTCAGTTATGCTCAGTGGGGCAGATACAGGATGCAGAAGGCAGGCTGTTGTGCTGGGTACCAAAATCTTTCTAAGTCCAAGTTAGTATGTCTCGCGTGGATCATTCCACATGTGCACAGATGTCGTACTAGTGAGAAGTTCAGGCATTCAGTCCACCAACAGCATATCATGACAGAGAAGCACAGCCTGCCTGTATTTGTCATAGAGAGACCTAGGAACCCTGACAATGTTTCTAAGCAATGTTCGCAAGGTAAGTCATTCTTGCTCACCCAGTAAACCTAATAGCACAGAAATCTTTCTGTCCTCCTAGTCCACTGGCCCTGCACATGAAAGGGGCAGCTACAATCAATGAAAACTCTCTCTTCAGCTACAAGCCCTATTGAGTCCACTATAGTAAGTGAATTTTTGGCTTGTACAAGAATATTTGCTTTGTCACAACTGCCCCAGATCATATTGCAGAGATGTGTCATATGCATCTATCTATATCTATCTACTTATCTATCTATCTATCTATCTATCTACCTACCTACCTACCTATTTACCTCTATCATCCATCCATCTATCTATCTACTTACCTCTGTCATCTGTCTATCTGTATCTATCTATTTATCTATCTCTGTCTATATATCTCTATCTAGCTATCTATCTATTTCTATATCTATCACCTATCTACTTACCTCTATTATCTATCTATCTATCTATCTATCTATCTATCTATCTATCTATCTATCTATTTGCGTATATTTATCTAAGTAACTATATGTTCTATGGAGTGTTTGTGTTTATTTGTTTGCTTGCTTTCCAAGTCCTCCAAAGATAATATGTTTTCAGAAACAGTGAATTAATAATTGAAAATTACCAACATTGTTATTTGGTGGGAAGGTAAAAGCATTTCCATTCCCTGGGATTTACTGCCTTTTCATAACACCAGTCTCTGCGTTATTAGTGAGAAGGGGATTTCATGTTTCTTTTTCTGTGGTACATTAATTGTTATAGATGACTAGGGGGTCATTAAACCATCACCTTTTAAAATATACTAAGTAGAACCAAATAATTGAGGTTGACGGTGTTTATTTACCATCAAAAGAATACCTGCCTGACGGCTTCATGGAGGATTGTGAAAATAGTTACCTCAGCTCTAAATAGTAATTTTGTTCTTGCTGCAGACGCACAACAAACACTATAAATTGTTCCTGGAGTCAGTGGCGCACAGGCCTCCATGAGCTTGGGAATTCACATTGAACATTCTGAAATCAGGGCACTCAGGTGCTTGGGCAAAGAACCAGCAGTTCGTCATTGATATTCAGGCTGGCTACTCAGCACAATGGCATAATGAAAGGAACTCCGGACTAGGCACCTACACAGCCGTATCTAGAGACAGCTCTCCCATTGCCTGTAAACAACACACTTCCAATAAGCCCTGGAACTTGGTCTCAATTTCCTAACCTTGAAATAGCACACTTGGAATAGATAATTTTGCTAAAGTTCTGTCCCTTTTTAACCTCTCCACGCTGCTCCTCCAGCTCCAATTACTGGTCGTTGGGGTTGGCAGAGACCATCATTTGTATTCGCTTTTTCTCCCCTTACAGGAGAAGATAGAAACTCAGGGAAGTCAAACTGCGTGGAAAAGAGTTGCCTCCCTTCACCTAGTGCTTCTTCCTGATGACCTTTGCTCTTTAGCCTCTCCTAACCACTCACCCTGAGGACAGAATGAGGAAAGGGGCCTTCTGTGTCTCTTTGGCTGGGAGTCAGACATTTCACCCAAACATATGATTTGGCTCTCTGGCCTGCAGAGATTGTAAAACTGTGGGCTGTGTTTTTCAAGTTGCACTGGAGACTGGGCAGGTTATTCTGTCCAACTCTAAGGTCAATGTTTAAAAGTCATTTGTGGGTAGGTGTGTAACTAACACAAGTCCCTAATAACTGCAAATTTTTGGTCAGTTTTTCTTAACTTTCTCGAAATTTTTAGCCACACATGGTAGCTCACACCTGTAACCCTAAAGCTTGTGGGGCTGACACAGAATTACTGAGTGTTCAAGGCTCAACTAGGCCACATGAGGTTACATCGTGAAGCCTTGACTCAAAACAAAACTCAAAGCTTTCTCAATGGGAATAGACTCACCTACAGTAAAATGCAGAAGCTTTTACTATGCAGGTAAATGAATTTTCACATATGTGCATATCTATGTAACTGCTCTAAGATATCAGCATAGGGCATTTTCAGAAGACAAGCATGTATTTAGGACTTGCTCCATATATACCACCAATAATTCTTCCTTTGGATAGTGCAGGTCCCAACTATTTGACATTCAGGTTCTGCCTCTAATTGGTACATTTTTAATTTTTAAAATTTTGTTTGCTGTTAGCATGCAAATGTATTATTGGCATTTGCATAGAAATCCTGGTGTCCTGAAACCTTGATAAACCACACTTACTTTTTTATCACTGTTTATCTTTAAGACAGGGTCTTGACTTTGAATAAACCATCCCACCTGGCTTCTCCAGCATAGATCAACATGATTGGGTGACTTTACGTATTAATTCTAATTTTACACGGTTTTTAAATTTGTTTGTTCACTAACATTGACTATAAAACTGATGTTTAATCAACTTGCTCCAGGTCTACTTGTTTGGAAGCAGATTTAGGAAGGAAGTGCATTGGTGAGCCCTCTGAAATACCGGTAGTTGAATGTTCAATGACCCATAACTGACAAGGACAGGGATCGTGTACATGTGCAGCTATTTTCTGCCAGATAGCACTGTGCATGCCTGCAGCAGCCCTGTCCAGTAACTGACGAGGCCGCATGACAAACAGTATGGTATTTATAGCAAAACAAAAAAATTACAAAAGCTTTCATGTGTATTTGTTCTGCATTTTTAAAAATAATACTGGCCTACTTTACGTGTCCTAAGTTGCACAATATAGACAATATATTGAAATAGTAGCTCCAGTTAAAGCAACCTTGTGGTGCCTGCACTTGCCATCGTATTAATTTGTTCCCATTGGGATGCCTATAAGTCTGGCAGCATTGACTCTTTCAAATCTAGGTCCTTGGCATT